ATAGATAGTGATTCCCCTGATGGATCTAGCCAAGTCAATTGAAAACCCCCTGGAAAGGATTTACCACTCTAGATGCATTAAGAACATTCAAAATTCATGGAAGAAGGTCAAAAGATCAACAATAACAGCAGTTTGAATGAAGTTTATTCCAACCCTCATGCATGACTTTAGTACAAGAAGTAACTTCCAACCCTCATGGATGCGTTAGTACAAGAAGTAACTACACATGTGGTGGAAATACTAAGAGAACTAGAAAGAGAAGAAGATCCTTAAGATGTGACTTCATTGCTGAAATCTCCTGATAAATCTTTAATACATGAGAAGTTGCAAAGAAAGTGGTTTCTTGAGATGGAACCTACTCCTGGTGAAGATGCTGTGAACACTGTTGAGATTACACCAAAAGGATTTACGATGCTATATAAACTTGGTTGATAACGCAAATGAGAGACATTCTACTGAGGATAAAATGCTATAAAACAGCATCACAAACTACAGAGAAGTCTTTTGTGAAAAGATGAGTCAAAAGATGTTGCAAAGTTCACCATCTTAAGATCAGTCACCTCACTTTCAGGCACCACCACCTTGCTCCATTAGGAGCCATCAACTTCAAGACAAGACCTTCCACCAGCATGAAGATAACAACTCAGTGAAGACTCAGATGTTGGTTATTATTTTTTAGCAATGAAGTTACCTTTTATTAAAGTTTGTGTTGTATTTTAATATAATGCTACCAGTACCTTTCATAAACTATAGTAGAATGTAAATATAACTCATACGCAATAGGAAACAAACAAAAATTATGATATGTCTATGTAAGGGTTTAAATGGTAAAAAATTTCAGGCAATTAACATCATTTCCACAAGTAAGATCCCAAATGACCATCTGCCATTTCATTCATGCCTGTGTTTAATTAAAAACAAGGGAGTCCAAGAAGGGAGTACAGTTAATTTGGACCAGTTTTTTCCATAGAGCCCAAGGACCCATATGAAAGAGAGGAAAAGCAGGATTTTTGCAATACTCAAACCTGGTTTTGGCCATTTTTGCCCCCAACTGTTAGTATAATATTAGGTAAAGCATGCTGTCATCATGCTTCAGGCTTCTCAGGTATGGGATAGAACAAGCACCACCTTCCTCCAGGAAATGTGTGAGGAGCTGTGAAGTCCCCTATGTGCCGTGAAAATGATAGTGCTGGTACTGGCACCTTCTGTATGTTACATGATTAATCTCACAACAACTCCAAGAAGCAGGTACAGCCACTGCAGCTTAGGAAACTGATCATTTGTTTGTGATTACACAGCTAACACTCAGTCAAGCCAGAATTTGATTTCATGAAGTTTTGTTCTAGAGTCCACCCCTAATTCTACATGATTTATACCAAGACAGAAGTTAGCATGATGCCTGGCACATAGGAGGTGATCAGTAAATGGTTATACCCTTCCTTTGGTCTCAAACATACAAGATTATGCTAAGAAACTGATTGAAAAATGTTTGTGCAAGTTCTCTGATAACCATAAAGTCCATTGAAAAAATACAGCATTAAAAAAAAATAGCTACATTGAGCTAATTTTGTGTATCAGACAATTCACCCATCTAAAGTATTCAACTCAGTGTGTAACCATCTCCAAAAGCAATTTCAGAATATTTCATCAGACCACCCATCCCCCAAAAAAACACCTATATCTATTTGGCATAGTTTCTTCTCCTCTCTCGCCTAAACCTGTCCTTAGTCCTTGGCTACCATTAATTTACTTCCTGTCTTTATGTGTTTCCTGTTCTAAACATTTAATATGTGGTTCTATATGACTGGTTTCTTTCAATAGCATGGCTACAAGGTCCATCCATGTTGAAGCAGATATCAGGACTTATATATTATTTACAACATTGACAGTGAAGGTATTCAATTGCTTCCTACACTGTTAGAACAGGAAAAACTTTTTAGACTGAATCCAAACCACTCCCTTTTCCTGACATAGAGCTTAAGTAGGTGAGCAGGGAGCCTGCTGATTGGTGACAGAGCACTGCCTTGATTTTTCTCAAACTGGTCCCATCTTCACCCCACAAAGAAACATAATGCAAAATACACAGCTCATTAATGATGGACTAGCAGGATTATATCTGCAAATATTAACCGAACATCATTCACTCATAACAGGCTATCATTGTTGATTTTTTGGGCTCCTCCCATGAATCATGAATGCTCTTAATGGTATCTAGAATATGAATCCCCTCCAGAAGATTTTCAGTGGACTCTGGCCAGATCCATCAGAGGAATCACTATCTATGGCAGTTACTGCCTTACAAAACTTGCTGGCTGTCTCTACAGAGTAGAGCACTGTGAGGAGCTAGGGACATAGGGTGCACAGGATAGACAAGATTGTGTCCCCCTTTCTCCCATGCACATATTCTCCTAGAAAGCCATAAATAAGTCATTCCCGAAATGATTAAAAATAGTAATTGTAGATTGTATAAAGGGACATGAAGAAAACAAAAAGGAGGTCAGAAAAGAAGAGGATGTAGGCCCTTCCTGGTGGCACAATGGGTTAGGATGCAGCACTGCAAGTTAGCCTCAGTGGCTTCAGTGCGAGTTCAATCCCCAGTCCCGGAGGTGACCCACATGGCGTGGCAGACCTCTCCTGTCTTGCCCGCTGCTCCCCTCAGCAGTGTACTTCATCGGTCTTCCTGTTCTGCTCCCTACTCTGTCTCTGGTGAATCCTCTCACCGCCCCTGCACCCTCTGGCTTGTACCCCAGAGGGTACCCCATATTTATTCTGTATGAATAAATAAATCTTTAAAAAAAAGAAGAGGAAGATGTAAAGTCTAACATGGCACTGGTGGTAGGGAGAGGGTAAAAGGACCTGCTGTAGAGAGTTCTGTGAGGTCCTCTTATGGCAAAGGTCTTTCTGAGGAGAGGGTGTTTAGGATGAGGCCTAGAGCAAGATGAAGACCAGTTTTGTGAATATGGAGAGGAAGAGGGCACCAGACTTAGGGGAGACATGCAAATGCAAAGATGCTGAGGTGGGGTGTTGAAGGGGTTTAAGGGGTGAACAGAATGACTAGTGAGTGACAGGACTTGAGGCTAGAAAGGAAAGGTCTCAAGGTCAAAACAGGGTCTACTGCTCATGTTCTACTCTTGGAGCTAATTGAGGTTAGGAGTACATGGGAGAGCAGATCAAGAGTTTCCAATTTCCTTCCCATAAATTAAACAAACTTCAGTTACCACAGGAAGCTAGAGGAGGCCCTGAATCTCAAAGGACTGTATCTTCAATAAGGGTGATACAACTATGCATAACTGTTGGGATAAAATAGAACACAGAAGGAAATGAAAAAATACAAGCATATTCTTCAGGGAAGAAGTTAACTCCTTTGAAACTGATGTGGGACAATCTCTAGTCAGTTGCTAAGCATAAACAAAACAATGCAGAACTGTGTATAGCCTATCTAGCCATTTATGTCAAAAAAAAGGCAAGTTTGCTCATAATACATGCATAAAATCTCTCTACAAGGATACAAACCTTTATACCTAGTAGAGGTCTACTTGTCTTCATCTTCCCTGGAGAACATATCCTGGGAAGAAAGGCAACTATTGTGTCTGACCTGTTTATGGCTATATCTCCATTGGTTGTGGCAGGAGGCTGGGAATGGTAGGACTTTTCTTGATCTCCTCGTATAATATTTCCATTTTAAAATGTTCATGTATTTCCTATTGTAAAAAATTAATAAATGAAAGCAAATGAGAAGAAATGAGGGGCTGAGAGCTGCTGGCCAAAGCCTGGGGCTCCTTCAAGCTCCCCTGCTCTGGGTCTCAGACAAAGCCTACACTTAGAGAGGCTGCCTGGAGAACCACCGGGCACTCACTGGGCCCTGCTCTAGGTTTCACTTCTCCTCATAACAATGTCTGTGACAGTCGGATGATCAGAGCAATAGTCCAGAATTCATTTCAGCTCCCACAGAATCAGCAAAGCACTTCCCTCCAGAGTCACTTGGAGGAGAATAAACAAATGTATAATATGAAGTGGGTATCAGACTCCAAGCCAGCAGCAGGAAGCTCAATCAGCATGACTGGGGAGAACAAGTTGACCCAGGAAACTGATGTTACTCCACCTGACCACCATACCTTCTTGAGTGGAAAATTCCTTGCTGTGAGGGGTACCCTGTGTTTTGTAGGGCTGTTTGTAGCACCATGGCCTCTACCCACGAGAAGCCAGACGCACCACCCTGTTACAATGGAGACAAAACACATAAACATGTCCAGACATGGCCAACTATGTCCTGAAGAAGAGAATTGCCCACCCCCCCGACCCTCCCCATGAGAACCACGACTCATATCCCTTCATTTCTAGGTTCTTCATCCTCCTAGTCAGAAGCTGGGGATTTCCCCTTTGGCTGCACCCCAGTTGAGTTGTCATAGAGCTTTGTAATTGACTCATGTGCCAACCAATCTAACTTCCAAGGAAACTCATCTGTCTGGGAAAACAACACTATCGATTTTTTTTTCCTTAAATAACCATCTGTTGCTAAAAATCTCCCATGCCTAGAAGGTTCAGGCCATTAAAGGCAATTTCTCCGACCCCCAAAGCAGGTTGGCAACTGAAGCAAACAGGCTCAGGCTGCCTACCCAAAGGCACCCCAAGGTGGCTGGTACAAAAGAGCCCAGAGAACTGAATGCTGGTTCCTCGTGTGGTTATTTTTGCCTAGGTGACAGAGGTAGGAGTGAGGCTCTGAAAAAGTGCATGCGGGGTCACTTATAACAAACATGTTGGGTGGGTGGGCAAACCTGCCATCATCTCTCCTTTCGAGAACATAACTCTTAGGAGACAGCTTTCCTTGGAGGGCAAAGAAAAAGAAACTGTATTCTATGTTTTGATTAATTTGAGGCTCATCCTTGAGGGCTCTGTGAAATGAATGAGCAGAATTTTCCGTGGCTAACTGTTCTGGCCGCTAGGCCCTATCGGCAAAAGTTTAGTGTTTATTTACTTTGCCCATGTTATTTTTATTTCAGTTCAGCTGCAGCTCAGTGCGGAAAGTGTGGGGGAGGTGTATATAAAGAGTACGGAGACTGGCCAGTACTTGGCCATGGACACCGACGGGCTTTTATACGGCTCAGTAAGTATGAGGCTGACATGCTTCCAGACACGGCCAAGGTTTGAGGTTTCCAAAAATCTTGTTACACTGAGTGATGCAAACTATAAAGCAACAATTAGTCTCTGTTTGTTATTTTTTCCAGTAGGATTCCCACTCTCTCCCCTACCTTATTTTGGGCACAAGCATAAAAGAGTTTCTTGTGGTATTTTCTCAAAATACTCAAACCTATTATCACATAGAGGAGACATTGATTGGAATTTGGTAACTCACCCTTTACTCCTTTCAGAATGCCTATTCCCACTTTCTTCTTTCACTCTACAAATGTTCCTTGAACATCTACCACATGCTCTAGATCCTCTATTTTCACGTAAGTTACAAAGCCCAGACTCCAGGAATTAATGTCACATGTAAAATGCTGAAGTCATGGACCCTTAATTCTGGAAAAGCCATATAGTTATAGAATAAAAAGTAATTTAGTCAGAAAACACTTATCAAATACCTCCTATATCTAGGTACTTAAGTATTGAAGGTATGCAAAAGTGACTAAGTTACATCCCTGCCTTCAAGAAGCACAGTCCAAGAATTTATTCAGTAACTAAAATCACCCATATCTCCCATTCCACTCCTTCCCTTTCTCAGTTAATGCTTTATGTATTTGACACAGTATATAACAATTTCTGTGAGAAAAGAACAGAAATAAAGGCAATCTGATTTGTCCCCATTAGTATCTCTGGTAAAAGATTTGACTGGAAAGAGAGATGAAGTCAGTGGCCCAGGTTTTGAAATTACTTCTGGATTTCAATGATCCTTTCTGTTCATCCTAATAACTGGTAATTAAGGTTTGGCTGTAATTCAGAGTTCAGGCCAATTCCCTTTCTTCCCTTTTATGAAGATGTCTACTAAAAAGCAGTAAGTAGGAAGATTTTACTGTGGAGTGCCTTTAGCCTCTGCCCTCTTGCTAAGATGGAGTGCCACAAGCAGTCCTCTTTTCAAACTATTGAGTCTCAGTCAACGTTCAGGCTGTGAACTCTGTTCAGTTTTTTGGGGTTTTTTGTTTTTTGTTCTGTGGTGCCCACTAGGGGTCAGGAGACAGACCCTCAGAGAGAAATAGGTGGCCTCTAAGTTAGGGGTCAACCAGAACAACTTGAAGGGATTTAGGTAGTGACAGCACTAAAAGAGATCTTATTTTTTTGTTAAAGATTATTCTCTCAACTGGTAATAAAATCAACTGACTAACTGGTCATTCAGTTCTCAGGCTCTTAACTGAAGTGTACGCCTCTACCATACTGACAAGTCACAGGCTTACTCAGTCTTTTCTAAAATGAGCATAGAAAAGGAGAGTAACTATGACATTCAGGCTGAAAAGTGTTCAGACAACTCAGGGAGCCCAGCCACCAGTGTGACCAGAACACCAGAGGAGCTCCATCAGTGGTAATACAGACAAATAATCAGCATCTAAGTCCTTACCCTCATTACTTCTTAGGTTATATAATATAGTTTTACAGCCTTTCCCTTTTAAATCAGTTTTGAAGTTTTATAACCTGCTTTTACTTGTATAAAAATGAGGAAGAACACCTCCCAAATCCAATTTCCTTTAGGTTCCAGATAACTCATTTCTCACCCTAATCCTGACCGTTATTGTAATTGATCTTAACTATTCAGAGTGATATGAATATACTTGGAAATTTTTATATTTCCCCATTGACAGAGTTCTGTCTCAGAGTCTTAACAAATCCCAAGAATTAACCCATTTTGATTCAAATTTGTGTATGTATAGAAAAGATGTATATATTCTTAAAAAGTTTGAAAGTACCATGACATGTATATATCTGGAGAATGGTAAATGGCTAATTTTATGTGAATGCCATCCTGGACCTTCCAACTTTTCTATAGTGGATCTATGTCACATATGTAGTTGGTGGGAAAGATGCTAAACATAAAAGTGAAAATAATAGGCATCAATCAAGTGTTAATCCTCATGCTCTTGGCAATGCTCAATTGCTGACAAACCCTGGTGTCAGGATGATGTCACCTCCCATCTGGCCTGCTGACTTGGCCTGCTGACTCAGTCCTTTTCTATGTGTCAACTGCTAGAGAGTAAGAGAGAAAGCAGCTGGGGCCCATAGCCATCTTTACCTTCATCACAGAACACAGCCTGGCACCCACTGAGCAGTGTCATAGGGACAGCTCTCCCTATAGGGATGTGGGCAACCCCCACAGGTCCTGAACTCCCTGCTTCTCCCAGCCCCGACAATATGCATCAGATACTAAATGTCTGGATTAGTCCCTTTGGGATCCAGATACCCAATTAAATATTGCATCTGTGTCCCATCCTGTTCTAAAATGATCAAAAGTATCTCACCCAGTTGTCACTGCACTAGACTACAAATGAATAAGCAGCAGGATACTTCCTATTACATGGCTCCTTACTGATCAAAGATAACTTTACTGAGTGCTTTATTTATATGATCTCAAGAATCGAATTAAATTCACCACCTGTTATTTGCAAGTCTGTGTGTCTGGGAGGTAAAACAAGAAAGACTCCATCTCTTCCCTTGAAAGATTTGTTGTTTTATGAGGCAAACATGCCCATAAAGAGAGAATAAGTAACAACATAACTGGAAACACCAAAAAGAATCACCAACCACCGTGGATAAAGAGATGATAGAAAACTCACATGACTTATAATTGATGCAAAGTCAATATAGAGCATAACTCTTTTTTAATACACCTAATATTTATATTCAAATATAAGTGTATTTTAAAATCTTGACAAATAGAAAGTTCAAATAAGAAGTTCCCCCACTACCCCCAGTTTCTAAAGAGATGAATTACAACTGAAAAGGTAGTGGCTGGTTAATATTTTTAAAATGCCTGAATTATTTAATATATGCTAGCTCTCCTTCCATCTTAATTCATTTGCAGCTGCATTAGATACACCTGTAGAGATGTACCACAGCCTGCCTAACCAATTGCCTCTCCATGGACATTTAGGTGACTTCCAGTTTGTTTCCATTTTATACCAATACTTCAAAACTACCCTTAAATTTAGTGTTATGCTTGTGCAGTATCTACTATGGTAAATTCCTAGAAAATAAATTGCTAGGTCAAGGTAATGCATATTCTAAATGTTGATATATTGACTAGATTGCCAAACTATGTCCAGAATGTTTTCACCAATTCATCTTACCAGCAAGGCATTCTCATCAATATTAAGACTTGTAAATCTTATCTCTCTTTGAAGATAATGTAGCCAACATATGTTAAATCATTTTTAGTTTGTACTTTCTTGCTAGAGAGAACTGCATGTTTTCCCAGGTTTATTGCCCATTTTTTTAAAAAACAGCAGATATGGCATACCATTTCGATAATATCCATAGCCTTATCTACATCTTTTTATGTATGCAAACAAAGATGTAGGGAAAGCCATTCATCACCTGTTAACAGTGCCTATGTCTGGGTGGGTAAGCTTTGGGGTGTTCTTTTTTCCAATTAAGTTGTGATTTTTTTAAGTGCAATTATATATAAGTAATATGATTTTCAAAGTCACAAAAAATAAAGCTTTTTCATTTTTTAAGTTCCAGAATATCTTTATCACTAGGATATAATGTATATGAGCAGGTATATTCAGAATGAGACTGGTAAAATCCTGATAGTGTTAGTGAAAATCACCAGGATGAAAAGTAGTATTTTGTTTTTGTTTGTTCTTCAATCCAAACTTGAAAAATTCCCCATTGCACCACAGTATGGTTTTACATATTTTGGACGTTATTCATGTCCCTGACCAGGTCTTTTCAGAGTCAAAAGGTCTTACCCTACCATTACACTCTCAGAGATATGTGCCATTATTTTCCTCAAGAAGAAACTGAGGCACAGAGAGCTTCAGTAACTTGCCCAAGGTCACACAGCTAGTAAACAGAGGAGCTCCACTCAAAACCACTCACTAATAGTTCCATTCTCTTTTGGTTTTATCTTTGTAGCAAACACCAAATGAGGAATGTCTGTTCCTGGAAAGACTGGAGGAAAACCATTACAACACTTACACTTCCAAGAAGCATGCCGAGAAGAATTGGTTCGTTGGTCTCAAGAAGAATGGAAGTTGCAAACGTGGTCCTCGAACTCACTATGGCCAGAAAGCAATCTTGTTTCTCCCCCTTCCAGTCTCCTCTGATTAAAGAAACCTGTTCTGGGTACCCGTCACTCCAGAGGTGGCTGAAGGGGTCCTCACCCAATTGATCCCAGATTGTTACCCTGACCATTGGCTGTGCTAACCCTTGGCCTACAAAGTCTGAATTTGTAAGCAATGCGCTTCTCAATGCTCAGTTCACCTTTTTGCAGAGCCCTTTACCCCAGCACAGTTTGGAAGAGAGGGAACAAATGGCTTCTAAGGGGAAAGTGGCTGGCCAGTCTGGGTCTCCTTTATATGTTGGGTTGCCTCTGGACACCTGCAGGCTGAGCCTCTCAATGCAAAGACAGGGCCAAATGAAGTGTGGTTAAGGGGGTCTGCCAAGTGGATCATGAGTAACTGCATACAATTCCCTCTACTGAGTAAACTCTACTTGTAATTTTCCCTAAATCGCTGATATAACTCCCTTTTGTCCTTTCCATAACCAGCAAATATCAGCAGACAAGCTCATAGCTAGACAAGAGTTAATCAGCATTCCATGAGTAGAAATACGGTCAAAGAAATCCCCCAAGAACAGAAGAGATTAATATAGCAAGGGGAGATTGGATATTGGTGGAAGCCTTATAAGGATGAGATCTCAACTCAGAATAAGAGAAGGATGGGAAGACTGACGATAGGAAAGCAGAAGAAATTCAAGGACTTGGGTTATTACTTGTAGTCAATACAAGGCCTTGACTTCCGAAGGTTGTTGGGCCACATGCTGCCCCTGGAGGATGTGAGGTGGAGAGCCTAAGAAGTGGATTCTTGATCAAGTCATTGATCTTGGATCTTGGTAAAGTCTTCTGGGTCTCAGGATGGCAAGAAGGGATGCTGTCCTTGGAGGACTTTTAGACATGAGAAGGAAAAAGAAAGGGACACCATGATTTTCACTCAATCACAGGAGAGCAGAGAGGGTCTGGGGCCTTAGGGCAGTGTTCATAGTCTTACGGGATTTTGTATGAATATAGATTCTGGGTCAGTGAAACTGGGTGGAGTTTTTTACATGTCTAACAAGTTTCCAGGTGTTGTAAATGTTGCCACCTCTCCCAATCATACTTTAAATTTCAAAGTCCTTAAGAACATTATGCAAAGAAAGGGGATTCAAATCCCTCCCCTCCACTCACCACACCTCCCAAACTCTCTAATTCTTTTTAGCTTCACCTTTAAAATGCACATCCCGAGAGTCTTCCTAAGCTTTTAGGCAGCATTGACAGCAGTTCTACTTGCATTAAAGAAGCATGGATTTAAGGGCTTTGGCCCAATGCCTATAAAATGCCCATTTAGAAGATACACAAAAAGCATACTGCAAAAATGCTAAACCCTCACAAACAGACCTCCCAAGAGACCATTTGTGTTCTGATTACTTGTATAAATATGCTTTCTGCTTAAAGTTGACCCAAGTGGCTAGCAAATTAGAAACACCATTCATCTCTGACATATGATACTGTTGCCATGTAACGACCTTTAATAACCCATTTAAATTTACTGTGAGACTTTATGTTCTAATCACATTAAAAAAGACATAGCTCAAAGGCAGTTAAACTGATTAACATTCAGTCATTGAGAATGATAATAAGATAATATAAGCTAATCAACTATTTACTATTTACACTACATTTATAAAATGAGGTTTTTCTTTGTTTTCTACTATGCTGCTACAAATTTTCCTTTGAAAATGGGGACTCTTAAGCAATGATAATTGTGGATAAAACTGATGAGAAAACTAGCTCATGTTTTATAAGGAACTGAAATGATTGTTAATTAAAAATAATTCCCAAGTAATTAAACTGTCATATTTAGAAAATGACATTTTGTGAAAGTTCATAACAGCCCTGCAATTTAGTAACTGAACTAAGTCAAAGTTATGGTTAGTAATACCATTCTACATTCATACAACAAAAACGATTTCATGACTTTGGCTTGTTTTTGTAACTTGGGTAAGATGAGTGCATTTTATTTTAGTAAATCTTTGCAGGCAAGTTGGGAGCAGCACAGTGAGGCTTAACTTCACTTTACTAGGAAAATTTGGCCAGACAAAGGTACCCAGAGAGGAAATCCAAGATACTGATAATAGCCCACAATTTTCAGTGTCTGAATCAAATTCAAGTATAACACTGGCCAAGAAAAATTAAATGCTGTTGCTAGTTGATGAGAAGGAAGTCTGTGGTTTCTAAGACCCAAAGTATTATGGAAGAATATTACTGTGACCTCAACAACCTCATCCCAGTCATCATTGGTGTATTCATTCAATTAATATGTAAGAAGCTACTATGTTCCAGGCACTGTATTGAGTACTGGAGGCCCTGGGAACCTGTCTGTCTGGTTTGCTGCTGTATTCTCTCCCAGGGCATTATGTATATGATGAAAGATGCTGTGGATTTTTTTTTTTTTATGGTCAGTCAAGTAAAAACACACTTTGTTTAGTTCTGAATAAATAGCAAGTCCCAGACCCCAGTTCTGGAAAAATTACCAACCTTGAACACAAGATTAACTCCTACTCAAAATGTCTGAGGACATAGCAAGGCAAATTTAGTATTTCCAAGTGTAGAACTGGACCTGTCTCAGGAGAACAACTTTAAATTCAGAAAGAAAGCCAGTCAGCTCTCATAAGAAGGGAGGGGTTAACTGTTCCCCACTTCAGTTTCAACATGCTCTAGTCCCTCAAATATGGAACATTCCTGCTGTACTTAATCTTCTTGAGTAAATCCTGTAGCCAACTACCTGTCATACTCCTATTGTATAGATTCATTTTCAGGATAACTGTTTTGAGCTGCTTGATATTCTGCATAAAGCATCAAGAACACACATGGTTTTGAATGTTTGTAATGTGGTGGAGTTAGTAGTGACATTTCCTTGGAAGGCAAGATAATTAAAGCCACCAATGGCCAAGAGTGTGCATTAATAAAAAACTGACTGAGCATTGTGTCTTTCTGAAGTTCAAGACCCTTGTTTTGGGTAGGTGAAGGAACCCAACTCCTCAGCCTTGTAGAACACACTACTAAACCAGTCCAGGTCACAAGCTGCAAAGCAGACATTTGATGAAGAAGATGCCTGTCATTTTGCATCACTGTCTCTCTCTTTTTTTTTTTTTTTTGGCACCTTATAAGTATCAATAAATATTCTACTACAAGTGATAATGTCTTTTATTTTCTCATCATCATGGTGTCTCATCTTCTGAAGGAACAACTTCCCCTAAAATAGCTGAGGTATGACTGCTTTACTTCCTACTTAATTTGCCACCAGATAATCTGGCATTTTAAAGGGTAAGCTTCACCTTTTATGCTACCATTGGGACAAAGATATTCTGAAAAACACATGAAAATAATTTAAGGTCTTATATATAATATTAACTCAATGGCAATTAATATATCTCCTATATCACAGAAGTCCTAATGTGGGACTACAGATCCACCTATCAGATTTTTATAAATTATTATCAATTACATAATGTCTCTTTAAACAAAATTCTGTACCTTATTTATGCCTTATTTATTCTTAGGAGAAATACACTGCTATCTAGACATCAAGCAATCAGAACACAAACATGCACATGCTCAAATATGTATACATCACCTCAAAAATAGTCAGGAGTGATTATGTTTATTCACTTCTCATTATATACCATATTCAGTCCCTTCTGCTCCTTTTAAAGATGCCTAAAGCCAGTTTTTCTTCTCCTTTTTGGAACCTGATCCACAGTAAGAGCTATATTGCAACCCAGCATACCTCTGTATATATTCACAATAAAACCAAAAAAAGTCATTTTACATCACATTATATATCATATATATACACAGCTACACACACACACACACACACACGAGGTGCACAGATTTTTCTGTCTAGACATTACAAAAAATGTAATGTCAAAGATTACATTGGATTATGACATTAATGGGTCACAACTACAGTTTGAAAAATAGGGCTAAAGCAACTGCTCTCCTTCTTGAGACAAGACCCAATCAGGACCGTGTATTATATCTATAGTGTTTTCAAAGACATGTTTTGCTCATGAACAAACAAGACAGAAACATTCTGTTACCCAGGGGCCATCTGTTCTAAGGGCTTGGTGAATTCTTGGTTTGTTACTATTCACAAAAAAAATAAATGTAACAAGGCTGATCCCACAGGTATGCATTGCTGCCTCCAATGCTGGTCTTAATAGATTGCTGCTCTCAGAGCCTGGAGACTTTGGTCCCCTTTTCCTACTAAGTGCTATCACTCCCTTCTCTTGTCCCAGTAAATTCCTCTTTCATAACCATTTCTAAACAAGACATGAAAAGTAGACAGAGGCAAGAAAACCCAGGGCCTCTGAATATTCACCCAACACCCATCCCTTTCTGGAAATTACTTTCCTATTTACTTAAAAAAAAGTTTGCCCAAAACAATCAACCAGTTTAGTAAGATAGCAGGATATAAAATCACCACATAAAAGTCAGAGGCCTTCCTATATACAAGCAACCAATAAAAATAAGTGAAATAAAAAAAAATCCCCTTTTCAATTAAAACAAAAAGTATCAGATACCTGGGAATCAACCTAACAAAAGAGGTAAAAAACCTATACAAAGAAAACTACAAAACACTGTTAAAAGAAATACAAGAAGACACCAAGAAATACAGGAAAGACATCCCCTGCTCATGGATTGGGAGAATTAACATCATCAAAATGGCCATGTTACCAAAAGCAATATACAAATTTAACGCAATCCCAATAAAAGTATCAATGGCATTAGTCAAAGAAATAGAACAACTATTGATGAGATTCATATGGAACCACAAAAGACCTCGAATAGCCAAAACTCTCATGACTAAAAATCCCAAACTTCAAGCTATACTACAAAGCCATAACAATCAAAACTCTGTGGTACTGGAACAAGAACATATAGATCAGTGGATTTGAATAGAAAACCCAGATAAAAATCCACAGGTTTATGAGTAGCAAATATTTGACAAAGGAGCAAAGCAGATACAATGGAATAAAGAAAGTCTGTTCAACAAATGGTGCTGGGAAAACTGGGAAGCTACATGCAAAACAAAACAACAAAAAAAATGAACCTAGATTACTACCTCTACCTCGCACCAAGCACAAAAACCAACTCAAAGTGAATTAAAGACCTAGACATAAGAATGGAAATTATAAAATACCTGGAAGCAAAGATGGGCGAAACACTACATGACATACACCTCAGTAACATCTTTGAAGATACAGCACCCAATACAATGATAGTGAAGGAAAAGATGAACTACATCAAGTTAAAGAGCTTCTGTACAGCAAAAGAGACATTACAAAAAACAAACAGACATCCCACTGACTGGGAAAAAAATGTCTCACACAAAGCTAACAATAAAGGATGGATCACAAAGATATACAAAGAACTGATAAAACTCAACAAAAATAAACAACCCCATCAAAAAATGGGCAGAAGAGCTAAAAAGACACTTCTCCAAAGAGGAAATGCAGATGGCCAATAAGCATATGAAAAATGTTCAACATCATTTGTAATAAGGGCGATGGAAATTATAACCATAATGAGATACCACCTCACCCCAGTGAGAATGGCACATCTTCAAACATGCAGCAACAAATGTTGGCGAGGATGTGGAGAAAAAGGAACTCTCCTGCACTGCTGGTAAGAATGCAAACTAGTATAACCATTATGGAAAACTGTTTGGAGGTTTCTCAAACTGCTAAAAATGGAGCTTCCCTATGACTCAGCAATCCCACACCTAGGTATCTACCCAAAAGACACACACAAAAAAAACTGATTAAAAAAGACACCTGCATCCCCATGTTTATTGCTGCTTTTTTTACAATAGGAAAAGACATGGAATCAACCCAAATGCCCATAAGTAGATGGCTGGATTAAAAAGATTGGTACATATACATATGGAATATTACTCCAGCAATCAAAAAAGATAAACTCATGCCTTTTGCAGCAATATGGATGGAGCTGGACAGGATCATGCTTAATAAGCCAGAAAGAAAAGGGAAAATATTGGATGGTTTCATTCATAGCAGGAGTATAAAGGCCCAGGGGAAAAAATAATAAGAATAATAAACAACTATACACCAGCGACATTTTATGGGGGTGGAGTGGGGAATAAGATCAAAAATGGGGGGGGAGGGGAGTGCACTGGACTATGGAGATGGCACACAGGTGATTTGGTGGTGGGAAGTCCATGGGGATTACAACTGAGATGGAAAAAGGCATAAAACGATGTAAAAATAAACTATTATTTTTTCTTAAATGGGTTTATCAGCCCTCCCTGGTGGCTCAGCGGGTTAAAGCGCAGCACTAAGAATTGAAAGATACTTCTACATGAGTTCTATCCCCGCCTGTCCCAGAGGTGATCCATATGGCGCAGCAGATCTCTCCTGACCTGCCCGCTGTTCCCCTCAGCAGTGTACTTCGTGGATCTGCCTGTTCTGCTCCCCTTTCTGTCTCTGGTGAATCCTCTTGCCACCCCTGCACCTCTGGCCTGGACCCCAGTTCTCTATGCACAAATACATAGATCTTTTTTTAAAAATCCTCACTTTTCATATTTATTTGAGTAATGGCATTATCTCTGTCTGCCAAGGGAAGAACTGAGAAGAGAAATCCCAAATGCTAACCCTACTTGTTTATTGCCTAGTATAATAGTGACACATCAAAGAAAGAAACACCTCAGACTGTACTTTTATGAATTAACAAAAACTATTTTCAAGAGCAGTAGTGCATTGGAAGAATACTTCCGTCCAACCAAGGAATGGGACTTGTGCATTCTCCATTTCTCAAAGAGACTAAGGTTGGTTTGTTTGACAAATGTGAAAACTGAAATGATGTGGCACACCCCTTTCTTATTTCACTTCCTAAACCTTTCCTCCACCCCTAGAAAGAAACTCCCTTTGCTACTTACACATAAAATTGACTCTAAAACCCAGCTTGAGACTGGAGACCTAACACTAGGCTCTCTGGACCCCATCCCTGTGACTCCCCTGCATTCTCTTATTAGGTTACAAGAGAAGTGTACTCAAGTGAGTATATGACTGTAGCATTGGATCTATTTTGCTGTTGATATACTGACTGACACACTACTCCATGAGCTTTTTATCCTAGATATAAAGTTAAAAAGAACCAAATCACATACAGCCTGAAGTGAAAAGGTAGGTTTGCTTTATAATATATATAGTATTATATATATTGTATTTTATATATAATATATATTGTCTATATATTGCAGGACTTGATTCTGGGTCTTCTGATGAGTCTCAGAATGTTGGTTCTATGGGGAGAAGGTATTTCCCAAATTGCTTCTTTCCCTCTTCACTTCCCATAGTCATAAAGACTAAATTTACATATTCTATAGCTAAACTCTGCTATCTATTTTATGACATAAACAAGCAAGACCTCATCATGTGCTTAAAGTGCTTTCTCTATCAGCTTTAATGAAGAGCTGGGCACACCCTGTTTGGAGGTGCATTTAAGATTGGATTCACCTGGCCAGTGTTGGAGAAGTAGGTGTGTAGACAAGTCATTTTTGCAAATCATCATGGAAACTCACTTCACAGTGTGTTTAGTAAAATACTTTTAGTCTGATCCAGAGATATGTAAAAGCAAGATGGTGGATTATTTTATTGATATACCTTAGCCCTACTTTTTCTCTAAAATAAGTTATAAGAATATTACGTACTGACTTGTTTTGTGAGTTGGAAAAACAGGATTGTTCAGAGTCTGGGCATCTCAAGTATGTTTAAGAAGGTAATTCCCTACAGAAATGAACAGTAGAATCTCTGACATTCTCAAAACAGAATAACTGCATTAGGGATCTTGCTTCTGCACTTGGGAAACTGTGTAGGTTTTAGGACTGTCAAGATTATTTCTGATAATACAGGACAAAATGCACCATCCATTTGCCATCACTATATACTCCCCACCCA